GTTCACACAAAACAAGGGGAGTCCGCTTTTAGTTATTATGCCGCCCGCAGTTGGAATCAGCTTCCAGAAGAGATCAGCTGTGCTAAAACATTAGTCACATTTAAATCTAGACTCAAAACTCATCTGTTTAGCTGTGCATTTAGTGAATGAGCACTGTGCGATGTCCGAACTGATTGCACTGTATTTTATGTATGTATAATCATTTTGTATTTTTAACTGTTAAATCAATTTTTAAATAATTTTCAAAGTTTTTAAATTCCTTGTTTTATTTTTGTGATAATTTTTTTATCTAATCTAAATTAATAAAATTTGATTATTTTACTTTCTTTTATGTAAAGCACTTTGAATTACCATTGTGTACGAAATGTGCTATATAAATAAACATGCCTTGCCTTGCCTTACTGTAACTAATAATATCACTAATTAAATAACTTAAAATGCCACTAAAATCTTCAACACTTGAACCATGACAAGGGTAACAGTTGATTGGATTATCTTAACATCACAGGAAATATAATTGCTATGTACATTGGGAGATTTAATAAATAATAATACAATTAATAATAATAATACAAATAATAATACACAATAAATAATAATCATAGAATTCATTTAACGTACCTGCTTTTTTTTCCCAACACTATTTATCTAAGAAACCTATTTTAAACTGATATAATGTGACAATCATTAGTTCATTTGAGACCTTTAGCAGATGTTATATTTACAGTCATAAAGACTAAACATTGCTGCCAGTGTCCACAAAAACCTACATTCTTGGTTTTACAGCATGTGAATGTATACGTCCCTCTGTGCCATATTACTGCAGCTCGTATGGAGCAGAACCGGCCGTGTGACGGAAAAAACCTGAATGGACTGATGCTGTATCTTCTTGTGTGCTGTCTGTTCAGAGTTGTGTCAGTCCCCTGTCTTTACCATTTCGTTCTCTGACTACAGGGAAAAATCCTATAAATAATCATAAAGAACATACATTTGGTTATCAAAGGGGAATGTGTGCAAGGGCATTGTGCTCTGCTGTGTGTGCTAGAGAAAAGACTCAGATGAAGAGAAGGCAAAGTGTCCAGTCAATGGCCGTACTGCAGGGCCACTGCTGTTTTGAGTCTGAAATCGAAAGATTTAGTGGTATTTCAAGGACGTCCACTGATCTCCACTCTGAGTTAGCTGAGAGACATGAGTCATCAGAGAGAGCATTACTGCATTAAACAAGACCACTTACCATCAAGAGCATCCTCACAGAGTTAAATACCCCAAACAGGGCAGTTGTGAACTCTCTAGGCTCATACATCAAATACAACAGCAAGATCGACTGATCCCCTGGAGAGACAAACGCACATAAAAGCACATTATTATTAATGTCCCCTCTCTCTCCAGCTCCCTATTGCCACGACTTTCAAAGATCAATGTTTTCAAAGCAATACAGAGTGTAATTCAAACGAGATGGTTGAACAATTATGAACCTATAAAAATAACGACAATTATATTTGGTAAAATTAAAGGCATTATTAGGAACACTAATATCTAATTGTAAGAATTTATGGAAATTGATAGAGACATACAGACATCACTGTCCCTCTCTCTCTCTCTGGCCTCAGGAGTGACAGTACTCAGATTGAGTGCTTTAAAACCTCCCTGCAGTGCCTCAGCAGTATTATCATCATAAACATTTGACTTGACCACGGGGCACATAGTAGCTGCACTGATAATTCATTTCAGCCATCTCAACGTTTATGCTGCATTATTTCATTATTTCACATTTGATTTTAAATTTCTCTTACTAAAACTTAATGTGTTAAAGTCTGAATGGTTTAAAGCATGAAATAATAATAATAAAAAAAGACTCCAACAGATTTTTAGTTTTTTCTTTAGTTTTGTTTGTTGTTTGTAAATTTGTATTTAATCATTAATTGTATTAATATTGTTTATATTATAATGTATGATGATTTAAAATCTTACTTAAAATATTTTTTTTACATTGTAAACAATTATAAACATAAAAATAACAAATAATAAAATACAATTTAATAATATTAAAATAATGAATATAAAAATATAAAATATAAAAAAATATATTTAAAAAAATACAATTGTTTTTGAATAGTAAATAAAAATGTAAATTACAATAACAAAAAAATTATGTTTATGGAACAGTTTTTCCAGTAGGTCAGTAACTTTAATGAAAACATGTTATTATATTATTATATTATTATATAATTACTTGCCAGAAAGAAAAAAAAGTAATAAAAAGTAAAAAAAAAAAAAATGTAAGTATAGATTATGGTAATATTTGTATTTATAATATACTGTATTAAACTATTTATTATTAAAATTATTTATAATATAGTGTATGCTGAATTTAAATGTTTATTAATATTAGAAATAATTAATTAATTAATTATGTATTAATTTAAAACTATTCAATAATTACAAATATTACAAAAACGATGAATTACAGGAACTTTCCATTTTTAACAGGTGATTTTCATGAAAAACTTTGTCAATGCAAAAAAATAAAAATATAAAAAATATAATAATAATAATAATACTTTTTTTTTCCTTCCATTCTTGACAGATTTATTGAGATTCACCTGCATAATGTTCAAATACTGTAAAAAGTATATATTTTTAAGTTGCAAATAAAAAAAAGATTACTGGAGTAATTTTTACTAGAAAATACTACAGTATTTCAGACTTTCAACTTACAGTAAACACTTCACATTTAATGCAATGTGTTTCTTGACGTTTCTTTGTAATTAATTGTGAAATTTACCCATTTATGAGTGAAAGTTGTTTCTACACCTTTTTTTTTCCACTGGCCTATAGCGTATATATCTGTGTTTGTCTTAGTGTATGTGTGAGTTTGCACTGACCAACAGCCACCAGGTTATTTATGAAGGTGCAGAGAATGAGAAAGTGCAATTTCAGTCTGTCCTGCCCTGACCTCCTCTTGAACACTGCTTTGAAAGACAGTATGGCGTACTTTATGATAAACAGACGGGACACATCTGCTTGAGAACCTTGCTCAACTGTATCCTCTTTATAGGGAGCTATACATGTATTTTCTCCCATCGTAGGGTCTCTCAGCCAAAGCACAATATAAAGCACCACCAGGACGTGGCAGCCAATGTAGGCCCCGAACGCTGCCTGGAGTCCGAATTCTTGCTCCAGGAATCCATCCAGTAGGAAGCCCACTGTGCCTCCAACGAATATCATGGACTCGGCCACTGCCATACGTAAAGTGCGACTGGAGCAGGAGCCCATGGTCAGGTCGGCCAGGTAGCTGAATGAGCTGAGGAAAATGAAGACATGGCCACCTGTCAGGCCTGTTAGGGCAGCAGCGATCAGGGTCCAGTAAACGCTGATGTTTTCCAACAAGTCTACAGCCAAGAGCAACCCCCCACTCAACAGGGACAACACAGAAGGGAGCGCCAGGACCCAGCGACGGCCAGCGCGGTCAGACCAGGAGCCCAGCATTATGGCGGGAGGGATGGAGACCAGGCTGAGGGTGGCGTTGAACAAAAGCAGGATGTAGGAGGCTGTCGTCTGAACCTCCTCGTCCCCTTTGTGGTGCTCAGGGTTACAGCAGATAGTATCATTCTTGAACAAATCTTGACACACCTACAAAAGACAAAAGTTATTCAAAATAAGTTTGAATATAAATTTCAATATATAAAGCACCACAGCACTGTCGAGTAAACACAACAATAAAAGTTAATTGTCTCTGACCTAATTGTCTCTGAATATAGTTTATTCTGTATAATTTATTATATATCACTTTATTTATATTATATACTTGGATAATATATAAATAAGTTTTATTGTGCAAAAAAAAACTATTCCTACTCACTGTCCAGTTTAACAGCACGAACACAATCATATATATATATATATATATATGTGTGTGTGTGTGTATGTATGTATGTATGCACACACACATACATACATACATAGGATGCATACACACATATACTCTGTGTGTGTGTGTGTGTGTGTACCTGGTATTTATCACGTTATGGGGACCAAATGTTGTTATTGAAAATCAGGGGTATTCGACCAAATATTGATATTAAAGTTGAAACATTGCTATTGTGTTGTCTAAAAATGAAGTATAGTATGAACCAAAATGTTCTAAATGACAAAATTTTTATTTAAAATGTAAAAAAGAAATTTCATCAGTAGTTTAAAGAATAAAACAAAAATTAAATTTCACTCAAATCGTAAATCCAGAGAAACTGAGAATTTTCAAGCGGTCTCTTCATTTTTTTCCATAACTGTATAGCTACACGTCGCTATGAATGTTTTTTTTATATTACTTACTAGTACAAAAATAATTGTTGAATGTGCTAGTAATGATATAATCCTTCTTTTCAAGAAAGAATTTTCATTTTAAGACACAGTAATATTTGCAGTTCAGTAAGTGGTCATAGTGAGTTCATCAGAGTGATTCAAACCCTGTTCTTGAGTATGTGAGCCATTTTGAAAGAGTCATTAAACAAACTGGCTAGTTGTTTGTGATTCTGATTACACAGGGAAAACATTGCTAATGCTAACAATTTTATTTTTAACATTGGGATGCTAAGTGCTGGGGGGACTACAATGAATTGTGATTTCTGCAAAAATGTATGACTGAAAAAAACAATTATGAAGGTCCACCGATCGTTGCTGGGGTGTACGCAGATCGTACAAAAACGTTCACATGCAGTCTTACGAACTCATTAGCTTTCAGTTTGCCAAAACGTAAAATAGTTCCGAATAGCCATAATTGTATGATTTTTTTTTTGCATTTTAATCTCTACGGCAGTAGTGACTGTCATTCACTGAGTGAATCATCCATTCATACACTAAACCGATTTGTCAAAAAACAAAACTATTGTATGTTGCTTGGAGACACTGCTTTTGTTACTCCATTTGGAATAAAAACAGACACACTATTGCTGAATAATATTGTATGAACTGAACCAAACTGAAGCTGCATATCACACTTGCAACCATGCCTAATGGACCCTGATCGCAGACTGTGATGGCACATTTCAACAGTTATTAACATCATACATTTTTCAGATTTTCATTAAAAAAAAAGAATGTACATTTATAGCACTGTACGTTGTGATTTATTACCTTGGCATTATATTCATGCTAAAATAAAATAAAAGGGTTCATGCTCAACAGCACTCCTGCTCATATGATATTTCGTAGATAAGTGAACAAAAGTGTTCATAACATGTTTATATGAGATAACAGCACGAGCTTGTCTGATAAAATGTTGGATGGCAACAGTTATTGTAGGTCAGTATTTTTAGGCGGCTTAGCACTTTGCACAAAACTAGCCACATTGACATCTTGACATTTAACAGTCCTTTTCTAGTTAGAGCAAATGTTATCGAACGAAATTCGGTTATTGCATCTTAGGTTAGCTTTGAGGTTTTTCTACTTCTCTAATTTTTTATTTTTTTTTATTCAGTGTCAGTAATGATGCTCTAAGGCATTATGGGAATGATGCACAACCCGAGCAGTAAGTCATCGTGCCGGGGAAAGCCCTCAGTTATTGTAAGAACAAGCCTCGGGGAAGCTCACGAACTGCAACTTCACAAATATGATGATATCAAGGAGTAAATGGCAAGAATCGAGGCCATTAAGAGTGGCATAAATGAACACTTTGCAATAAATGATTGGACCCTCTTTAATCTTTGAACAGTTTTCACTGCGTGGAGTTGTGCTCATTCATATGATATATTCATCCACATTTTTCTGAGAGCTGTTATGTGTGGAGCTGCAGAGTTCATTGGAAGGGTAAGAGAATTTAAAGGAGAGAGGAAAGGAAGGACACTCGCTCAGGAAAAGGGGAAAAAATGCAATATGACAAGAGCAGGAACTAAAAACAGCTGCATGTTTTGGAAAGCGTCACCCTTAAGCAAATGCATATATTCACTGCATAATTTATATTCATAGAAATGTCTTCAGAGTCCACACATATTATTTTTCCTGCGTTTTCTGTTTTACTTTGATGCTTTTTGTTTCTTTTTAGACAAAAGTTAAAGTTATTATTAATGTTAAAAAAAAAAAAATCAAACAACAAAAAAGGCCATTAATTTAAACCCTTCTCTGTTCAGAATTCATCAGGATGTAAATATATTTAAATAGTAAAAATCATTACTAATTTTAATGTAAAAGAATGTTAAAATGCTACAGTAAAAACTCAGCATTAAAATTACCTGCATAAATATATTAGATTTAAGGGTTACACTTTACTTGAAGGGGTGTGCATAAGACTGACATGACACCTTCATAATCATGACATGACACCTACATATTCATGACATGACACATGTCATGAATATGAAGGTTTTTTATGCATGTTTATGACAACTGTTTTTTTTTTGCCTTCAAGTGCTTGCATTAAGTGCATGTCAAATTCCATGTAGTCTCACAATTATTTCCAATTAATATACTGTATATATATATATATATATATATATATATATATATAATTTTTTGTATTATTATAAAACTTTTAATGTGTATATTTATTATGTATTATGTATATCAAACACATACATGTATTTAAGAAAAATGTTATGTTCAATATATTTCTATATAATATAAAATATAAGAATATAAATACATACATGTAAATACATGTAAATATTTTCAAAATATATGCTGTATGTGTGTGTATTTATATATACATAATACATATA